ACACACACACACACACACACACACACACACACACACATGCCTGACGGGGGCAGCAAAGGCACCTGGACCTCTAACTCAAGGACCTATGCAGTTTTCTCTGCCTTTATGTTTGTTGAAATATTTTTATCATCATTCAAATGATTCAAAGTCTATATTTTCTTACACAAAATGAACCATGGCTACAAACCCTGGTGTTTTTCCCTCACTCCCACTTTGCTCTCCAGTGGGTTTGATGCATTTTAGAACTGCAGTCTTCTCCACTGACTTGCTGCTGACACTAACTTGGCCCTGTTGCTCTTAAACACCTCTGGTGGGTTCTTATAATCTATGCACAACAGTCTCTCCAAGCACTCAGAGGACGGGACAATCCAGGGAAGGTCTGTACACAAGAGGAAGAACGGTGACATTAGTTGCAAGGAAAACACACCAGACTAAAGAACCGGAGTTTTATTAACAGCGTCGCTCAATGATCCAGCAAAGAAAAGGTAACTGATTCATCAACATCGACACAGACACACAAGCACAGAGAGAGGACAGGGAGACACAAAGAGAAAGCAAAGCCTTCGACCAGATTCCAAAAGGCTGATTCTGCTCATCTGGACATTTTCAGTGGGAGAAACGTTTCATCATCATCAGCTGACTGCAGGTTTCAACCTTATAAACAGGACATTTGCACAATGACTGAAACCAGCACCACTGAAGGAACAGTGGGCTGGGAGGTCGGCTCATTGATCAACAGCAATGTGCACAGTATATGGTCTTGTACATGTCAAGTCCAGATTGAGAGAGCCAGAGAAAAATGTTTTTTAAAATGTAATTGTTATTTATAATATGTATGTAACTTTGTAATTTTAACGTGTTGTCGCCTCTTGGCCAGGACTCCCTTGAAAAAGAGGTTTTTAATCTCAATGGGATTTTTTTCCTGGTTAAATAAATAAAAAAATGTGTCTGACGGAGGATCTGTGAAGATGGGGAAATAACTGTTCGATCGCCTGCTGAATCTGTCATTTTACTCAGTTTCTGATCTTTTCATTCAACTGTGTGAGAGAGAATTTCAGAAAGAAAACATGACATAGAAAAACTATTTGAAAAACTGAAGCGATGAAAAGTGAAGGATGGAAAATGTTCATAACCAAGTGCTTCAACAGTTTAATGATCCGTGGCCTTATCCCAAATCGTATGTCATTGTTGTGTTTGCATCATCCAGGGCTGCACTAGGCTGTGACTAACAGGCAGGCACTGATTTAGGGAGTGTGTGATGTGCTTTAGCTTTGGATTTGAAACTTTGCTCAGTCATGCTCATTTTATTGTGGGAAGTCAAAATCATAATTGCATTTGAGATTAATATTAAGGTAATTTTGCTGCTCTACCACAGCCCACTGTGACATTTTCACTGTGAATTCTCACAAATACTTCATGGATACTTCATAATAATAACACTTAATGCATTAGGTGAAGCATTTCCAGTGAACACAACGCAGGGAAAAAGTTACAGTGTGTTTGGGATCTATTCAAAGATAATCGGCATTAAAAGTATTAAAGCAGCTGCAACTGTATTTTAAATTTTGCATGATGTGACCTGTTCAGTTCCTGCTGCCGGTGCTCACCACAGATATCACATCTTTCAACATCTTGTTGTTTTTGCAGGAACCTTCTGTATCATCTCCCTCTGTACCTGCGTCGCTGGCATCAACTTCGAGCTTTCCCGTTACCCGCGGTACCTGTACAGCTTGCCCGATGATATCGGCCACGGCTACGGCTGGTCCATGTTCTGCGCCTGGGGAGGCCTCGGCCTCACACTTATCTCTGGCTTCTTCTGCACTCTCGCGCCCTCTGTTCAACCAATACCGAGGTCTACCTGTCCCAAATCTCGACAGGAGAACGGCACCGTGTGCTAAAGCTGGCTGCGCCAGGCCAGCTGAACCCACAGACAGACAGACAAAACAAACAAGCTATTCCATGTTTCCATGTGTCAGCTCATATCCACTCTATCCTGGTTACAGATTTTGTGTGTGTGTTTGTTTAAAATGGGTGTCTTGATATCTTGAAAATACAAGAAAAAAACCTGAAGAACTGAAGAAATATCAAAAATTAAAAGTTGTGTTTATTTTTATTTTGTGGAGTAGATGCAGAAATGGATCGTGACCAGGAAAGACGTGAAAGAAATGATATGGAGACCACGAAAGACTAAATTGTAACGAGTGAGTGCTTTACTGGTCTACTGTGATTGTGGAGACGCTAATGGATTAACAGATTGTTCAGAAGATCAAGTAAAGATCTGGTGGAACCTTCTTATGATCTTTTAAAGCTTTTTGTGGAATATTTCACAAGCCAGTGGATCAAACATGAAACCATGTGACTAGCGGGAGTGGGATCACATGAATTCTCCAACTTCTGGGGTCCTTCCAGTTACTAGTAACAGGCAAGATCCAGAAGAGAAGATCCAGGACTTCCACTGATGTACATTATTGTACAGAATATTCAAGAGAAATGACAACCAGGCATTGGACTATTTCCATCTTTGTGTCGGTGCAGCACATTCCAGCGAATGATCCTAATCTAACGTTTCATACATGCATTCCTCTTTTACTGAAACTGTTTTGCTTTTTACTGAACCTTCATGTTGTGAATGAACTGTTGACTCGCTCAATGCAAATGTGTTTCATTTTTTCATTCTAGTCATAAGGCTACATGTGTGTGTGTGTGTGCGTGTGTGCGTGTGTGTGTGTGTGTGTGTGTGCGTGTGTGTGTTTACGTGCAGACATGTTGAGACGAGTTATTTTCAAGTCTTTACAAAAGAGTGATCAACTTGACAAAGCAGCGCCTCAGCCTGAGTATGTAGGGAAACAGAAGCTTTGGTCAGCAGTGAGATGAAACAGGAAGCTGCAGTATCCCGTTTAACCAAACTGACATCTGCCCCGTCTTTTCTGGAGAGCCCCACTTGACCCGGCAGATAAAGAAGTCGCTTTAAAAGGGAACAGCACGTTTAGCTCTGCTGAACATCTAAGGAACGTTTAAGTAATTACATCTAATGAGAACACTTCTTGTCCCCGGGGATCAGCAGGTTATCTGCAGGGCCTTCTCCAAACAGTATCTAAGCATAAGGTTTGAAAGGTCTCATCTTAGAAGAAGGAAGAAAGATCTCAGCCACGAACCATGAATCACAAATACATGGGCTTGAATTTACTCACATCATCAATTCACCAACACTGAATCCAGCAGGCAGTTGTTGCCAACATCCAGTTTGTGAAAGCGGAGACTCTAAATACCACAGTCCCGTACCAGGGACAGACAATTCAATTCAATATAGTTCAAATCACAACAGTCACATCAAAGTGCTTTACATTGTAAGGTAGACCCTACAATAATGCATACAGAGAAAACCCAACAATCATATGACCCCCTGTGAGCAGCACTTTGGCGACAGCGGGAAGGAAAAACTCCCTTTTAACAGGAAGAAACCTCTGACAGAACCAGGCTCAGGGAGGGGCGGGGCCATCTGCTGCGATTGGTTAGTTAAGGGAGGATTCAGTCAGAGGATCCAGCCCTCACTGTAAGTCTAAAGTAGAGCGGGTGTGTTATATCGGGGTGATACAGAACTATGACGTGTTGAAGATGAGACGGGACCACTGAGAGGCAGGCGACGATTTCATTTCCTGCTGGATCAATCTACTGACATGTTACAATGTATCCAGCCAAGACTTAAAGCAAACACTGTACTGGGATCTGTTCAGAATAATTTAGGTTAATTACAACTTGGATCATGTTTTTCTAGCTTTGGACATCAATTGGTCATTACTGATACTGTGTTGTTTTTGTTCTTGTTCACAGTTTTGTCTATGTGTTGCTTAAGAAACATGATGGAGTTCTCTGACACCAGGTTACTGTGTGGATTAGCAGCTACTGTCAGAAACTGCTTAGTTTGAATTAACATCATTATCGAACTGCCTTTTTCTTTCAGCACTGATGGTCAGCTGGTCAAACGTGTCTTATAACACTTATACTCACATACAAGTAAACCGACATTTCCAAAGAAACATCTTTTTATCTCGAGACAAAATGCTCTTTATGAGAAAAAATGAAAAATGTGAGAAAATATGAAATACATTATTTTATGGACAAACACTGCGCCACAGTAAGTCACAGACTGCCACAATCATGAACTCCACCTGGTCTGTGGTCACAGACATTTGTAAAAGAGTGGGTCATCCTAAAGATTTTGAGCACCGTGCTCACAGAATTTGAGCGTGGTGCTTTCATACTAAACCACCCTAAGTCTGTTTTTGTTTCTTCCATCTTAGACATTCGACAGTCAGCTATAAGTGGTATTATTGCAAAGTGGAACCTCTTAGGAACTAAAGTGACTCAACCATGAGAAAGCAGATCATATAAAGTGGCAAAGCAGAGTTACTGAGTGCTGATGCTCGTAGTTAAGTCACCACCAGTCTGCTGATCGAACAACGTCCTGTGGAATCATCAGGACAAAAACTATGCATCAGAGCTTCATGGTATTCGTGGCCCAATACTTTTGTGCACATAGTGTATCTCAGATCCACATCGTATGGGAACCAAGTGGCAAAGGCAATCCATCACAGTCAGTAGAGGAGCAAAAATAGATGAGACTGTCTGTGACAAAATCTAAAATGAAAATATTAGAATTGAGAAAGTCGTTTACTTGTATGGGAATATTTCTCTAGAAGGCAGGAGCTCTGTTATTTAAAATGTTCTCTGTCTGTTTTCATAGCAGTGACAGCAGATGTGTGTCATCCTCAGAAAGAAGCTTGTTGTTTCTTTTTAGACTTTCTTCATTCATTTTATTTTATTATTTATTTTTTGTCCTGTAACAAATGAATTCAGCATCATGAATGGTTTTCAGGAGTGTAAATAAAACACGAGGATGTAGTGTCTGATATTCCCAAGTCCCAGTTTTATAAGATTATCATGTTTGGCACCCGTGCTGGCAGCGTTCCTTTAATCCTGCTCATGAGCTGGGACACATTTTGAGTTCCAAAGTTACCTGAGAGACGTTTTTTTAGTGTTTCCGGAAATTTGGGACCTTTATGATAAAAATAACAACAATTCCAACAATACGTACAATCCCACATAAGTCATGTACAGTAAGTAAATATATTAGTTAAAAACATACCCAGTAGAAAACATGGGTGTAGCTTATGTGTCAGAAAAGTAAAGCTAAGTTCATGAAAACCTGCATTCATCTGCCACCAGATGGCAACAGCTGTGGTTGCAAACAGACTTGCAGTCCTATAGAAGTTTATGGGAAAGGCTTTCTGACGTGACCCCTGTAAAAACTGTCCTGCTGAGTTTATTGGCTCAGTCACTCATTTTGGGTCATATTGACTAAAAAGGTCTCTTTTGTAAATCTTGGTTTACACCCCATATGGAAAAGATATATATAAATCTTATAAAGTTTGTATCTGTCTTGTGTGAAAAGCATATAAGAGTGAAAACAGATATAAGATCCCTTGAAAA